TTCCTCTAATATAAATTCATTTATATTTTTGCTACTTCTATTTTAAATTTCTGGTCTGTAATTTTTCCTTTATGTGGTTGTATGTGTGTATCTGCATGCTTATGTGTGCATGTATATGCAGGTGCCTACAAAGGCCAGAAGAGGGTGTCAGATTGCTTGGAGTTAGAATTCCAAGCAGTTATAAGCTGCCTGATGTCAGTGCTGGGAGCCAAACTCAGTTCCTCTGCAAGAGCAACTCATACTCAACCCCTGAGCTGTCTCTTCAGCCCCTATGCTTTCTTTCTTTCTATTAGTCTTTATTTACCAGTCATTCTTAATTATTCATTGATAGAATTAATAATATACTTCTTTGAGAATGCAGTCCTGTTGACCATTTTTCGTGTTTCAGAATACATTCTTCAGGCTACGTATGGTGGCACAGGCTTTTGATCCAAGCACTCAGAAGCAGAGACAGGTAGAGCCCTGCGAATTCAAAACCAGTCTAGTCTACATAGAAAGTTCCAGGCCAGCTGTTTTTGAGACAGGAGCTCAAGCTGGCTTTCAAACTCATTTATTTATTGGTTTTTTGAGATAAGATCTCAATAGCCCTGTCTGGCCTAGAACTCACCATGTGTGCCAGGCTTACCTCGAGCTCAAAGAGATCCATCTGCCTCTGCTTCTCAAGTGCTGGGATTAAAAGTGTGAGCTACCATGCCTAGCTTTTAATTTTTTTTTCTTTTTGTATGAGTTGGCACATATGTATATGCCCATGTATGTATGTAGGTATGTACATGTTGAAGTCACAGAGGTCAATGTCATGTGTCATTCATCAGGTGCTATCTACCCTTTTTTTTTTGGTCCTTTTTGAGATAGGGTCTCCCTGTAGCTCCAGCCAGCCTGGAACTCCCACAGATTCACCTGCCTCTGCATCCCAGTGCTGGGATTAAAGGGATGAGCCACCGTGACCAGCACTATCTACCTTTTTTTATTTTTAAGAAAATTTTTATTAGTACTTTAAAATTATATGTATGTGTGTGTTTGTGTCTGTGTGTGTCTGTATGTTTATCTGTCTATGGATTTGTGCAGTACTGGAGTTACAGGCTGCTGTGAGCCACTTGACATGGATGCTGACAATTGAATTCTGGTCCTCTGGAAGAGCCATCTCTCCAGCCTATCTACTTTGCTTTTTGAGGTCTTTTCTCACTTGGCCTGAAACTCTCCAATTAAGGCTAGACTGGCTGACCAGCAATCCCTAGGGAGCCTCCTGTCTCCACCTCAATGCTTAGATTACAAATGCTGGGCTGGAGGGATATTGCAGCCTTTTTAAAGGCTAAGGCTAACAAATGCCTGACACTATACCTGGCTTTAAAAAATTTTATTTATTATGTGTATGAGTGCTTTGCTTGCATATATATGAGCACTTTTTCATACAGCACCCACAGAGGCCAGAAGAGGGCACTACATCTCCTGGACACGGAGTTATAGATGGTTGTTAGCTGCCATGTGGGTGCTGGAAACCAAACCAGGGTCTTCTGTAAGAGCACCCACTGCCTTTAGCCACTGAGCTGTCTTTTTGAGACAGGGTCTCCCTGTAGCCCCAGGTGGCCTAGAACACACTGTATAGACCAGGTTGGTCTTGAACTCACAGAGATCTGCCTGCCTCTGTCTGCCTCCCGAGAGATTAAAGGTGTGTGCCACAGTGCCAGGACTAAAAGTGCTAGGATTAAAGGTGTGTGCCACAGTGCCAAGCCCTAAAGCATCTGTGTTTATTCTCATTGCCTCATTGCTGTCATTTCAGATAAAGAACAAAGTACATCAAAGATTCAGGATACTGGTGGCCCCACGCCTTTAATCCTAGGGCTGGGGAAGCAGAAACAGTCAGATCTCAGTGAGTTTGAGGCCAGTCTGAGTTTCAAAGTAAGACCCGGTCTTAAAAAACAAAACAAAGCCTGTCATGGGGTGCATGCCTGTGGTCCCAGCACTTGGGAGGCAGAGGCAGGCGGATCTCTGAGTTTGAGGCCAGCCTGGTCGACAGGACAGCTGGGGCTACAGAGAGACCCTATTTGAAAAGAACCAAAAAAGAAAAAATCAAAACAAAACAAAAAAAAAGATAGAGAATATCTTACTTTTTTTTTCAGTACCCAGTATATTTTTATTGCTGTTTGTTGTTGGGTTATTTTGGAGGGTTTTGTTTTGCTTTGTTTTAGACAGTGTCTCACTGTGTAGCATTAGCTGGCTTGACCCTCCCTATGTAGACCAGGCTAGCCTCAAACAGAGAAGTCCACCAGCCTCTGCTGGGATTAAAGGCGTGTATCACAACTCTCAGTGCTATATTTGTAATTTTCTATTTTAAATCAAAAGCTAGAGAGGACCCTCTGTAATATTTTACCTACTCAGAATCCTTACAGCGTACTGTATTGTGTTAACTTTATTGGCAAACCATAAAATTGAAATGTTAAGATGTTTTATTAAAATCAGAAACACAATTACAAATGAGTCTCATATAGTTCCAATCTGTTGCAGAACAGTTCCTGGATAATTGGTAGTTGGACAGTGGTAGTAAGCATTGCATTTCCCATGTCGTCAGTGCCTAGTTTGTTGCCTGGCAGAGTAGAAACTAAATATTTAAAAACTGGGGATAGGGCTCAGTGATAGAGTGCTTGCCTAGCACACATGTCTCTCTGTGTTCAGTCCCCAGCACTAATGAGTGAATGATAGCACAATGGCAGTTGTTTCATGAAACAGCCTCTGCGGTTAATTTCGTGGTATTTATATTTCATATTGTTTTTTTAAGGCTACTGATGCCCGGAGGGCTTTTCCTTGCTGGGATGAGCCTGCCATCAAAGCAACTTTTGACATTTCACTGGTTGTTCCTAAAGACCGAGTGGCTTTATCAAACATGGTACGTATATGTTAATAAGTCTATTTAAAATTTTAACAGCCTTTGGTATATTTGGTTTGTTGATTAGATATGTGAAACCACTTGACATAGTGCTGACTACATAATAGGAATGCTGCTGTTTTCTTTATTTTCAGTTGGCCCCTTTTTCTCAATTGCCTTTTTTAAAGGTTACTGTCCAAATACCATGAGATTTGTGTGTGTGCGTGCGTGTATATATATATATATATATATATATATATATATATATGTATATATGTATTAAATATTTGTGTGTGTGAGAGAGAGAGAGAGAGAGTGCGTTTGTGTATACATGTATGCAGGTCCTGGAAGAGCAACCCGTGCTCTTAACCACTGAGCCATTTCCCCCCCAGCCCTCTCAGTTTCCTTTTGGTGATTTTCTTCTACAAGGAAGAAATCCCCTGTTAAATTCACTGGCATGATTATCTGCTGTTTTGTTTTTAATTTTTATTTATTTTATGTGTATGTGTGTATTGCCTGCAATGTAGGTAAGTGCACCCATGTCATGCAATGCCTGTGAGGACAGAAGAGGCAGTTGGATCCCCTGGAACTGGAGTTAGGACAGTTGTTAGCTGCCATGTGGGTGATGGGATTTGAACCCGGGTCTTCTGCAAGACCAACCAATGTTCTTAACCACTGAGCCATCTCTCTAGCCCCTGTTTTGTTTTGTTTTTGAGACAGGGTCTCATTCTGTGCCCAGGTTGTCATGGAATTCTCTTTGTACCCCAAACTGAACTTGAACTCTCAGCAAAATTCCAATTCTTTAGCCTCTTAGCTGCTAAAATTACAGCCATGAGCTACCGTGCCCTGATAATATACTTCGTTTAGTTTAGGGACATAAATAAGAGGCAACCTTCATTTTTATTATCTGAACGAAAAAGGTCTTCACTTTCTCATTAAATACTAGAAGAAATAGCTATATAATAAATGTATTTAGGTTTTCGGCTGATTATATTCTTTGAATATGTTCTCTTTACTATTGTTGATCATAAATAGGTTTTCATCATTTAAATTGTCTAAGGACTAAGCCGGGCATGGTGGTGCATGCCAGTAGTCCCAGCACTTGGGAGGCAGAGGCAGGCAGATCTCAGTGAGTTCAAGGCCAGCCTGGTCTACATAGCGAGTTCCAGTTCCTGAAGCTACAGGGAGACCCTGTCTCAAAAAAAATTATCTAGGACCACCTTGTTTAAGCTATGTAGTAGCCTAGCTTATACTCTTGACTCTGGGGAAGTTGAAGAAACACCTGAAAATTAGTAGCTTTTGGGGGGCATGGTGACTCATGCCTGTAATCCCAGAATCTTAGCGACTAAAGCAGAATTGCTAAAAGTTGGAGAATGGGCTACGTAGTGAGTTTCTGTCTCAAAAGGCAGAAATAAACAGCATCATTTAGCTTTTGCCTGTTTGTTAGTGGGAGAGAATTCTGTAGAAAACGTACTTTAATATTCCTAGAGAAGAGGCTAATGTATTAAAATGGAACATCATTTACATTTTAAAGTGAATGAATTTGTGAGGCCTGTTTCCTGAATAAATCTTCCTTAGAAGAAAGGCTAGAGTCTAAGAAACTAAGAACCTGAGTAGGAAAAATGGAGAACTCAAAAGGAAAATTAGGATTTAAAGGTAAAGTGGAAATTTCTTCATGCTTGCTTAGAGCCAACTTTGCTACAGAAGATAGTTGAGATCTAGGATCACTATGTAGACCAGGCTGGCCTTGAACTCACAGAGATCCACCTGCCTTTGCCTCCCGAGTGCTGAGATTAAAGGCGTGTGCCACCATGCCCAGCAGGAGTACATACTTTTTAAAATGAGATATGGCATATTTACATGTATTTTTGTTAATAATCATTTTCTCCCAACCTTTTTGTCACTTGAAAAATACTGAGGTCTTATGTAAAAACATCCCACTGCTTGCCATATAAATGTATTCAAGAAAAGTTGATTCATCTTTGTTCTCATAAATTCTTGAGTTTTGTTGTTGTTGTTGGGTTTTTATTTTGTTTTGTTTTGTTTTTTTTGTCTTTTTGAGACAGGGTTTTCCCGTAGCCCCAGCTGACCTGGAATCCCCCCTGCCTCTGCCTCCCAAGTGCGGGGAATTAAAGGTGTAGGCCACCACATTCAGCTCTTTTTTCTTTTGTTCTTTTCTTTTTTGGTCTTTTTTGAGACAGGGTCTCCCTGTAGCCCCAGCTGGCCTGGAACTTACTTTGTGAACCAGGCTGGACTTGAATGCACTGGGATTAAAGGTGTACGCCACCAAGCCAGGCTGGATCACTTTCCTTCTAAAGAGGAAGAGCCTATGGCAAGAACACTGGATTAGCTGGGATTAAATAAACCATTCTAGAAAAGGAAAAGGAGTATTCAGGACTACAGTTTTTGCCTGGTATTTACTTAAAAATATCAATGTAAATCTACTTAAATTTTCTTTTCTTTTTTTCCCCCCCCCTTAAGAATGTAATTGACCGGAAACCATATCCTGATGATGAAAATTTAGTGGAAGTGAAGTTTGCCCGCACACCTGTTATGTCTACATATCTGGTGGCATTTGTTGTGGGTGAATATGACTTTGTAGAAACAAGGTCAAAAGATGGTGTATGTGTCCGTGTTTACACCCCTGTTGGCAAAGCAGAGCAAGGAAAATTTGCGTTAGAGGTAAATGTACTTGAAGAGGATTGTTCCAACAGTCCATAACTCCAGGTTGGGGAATTTGCATTTCTCATAAATTATTAGTACAGTTATTTGTAATTTAATTGGAAAGTTATTTTGCTACTTTCGTTTTATTTTTAGTAGAATTTTGAATGTGCCAACCTTGATGTTACATTAATATTTTATAAAATAATGATTCAGAGAATATGAAGGAGTGTAGCTAGGGGCAGAGTGTGTTCAGCAATGCATGAGGTCATGGGTTCAATCTTTGGATCTGGATTAGAGAGAGAATATAAATGCAGAATTTGTGGAATTAACATGAAAATATATAGTTCTGTTTTCATACCGGTTATAAATGGGTTACAATTTGGCCAGTGATACAAAGCTTGGGGCCAACAGAGTCTTCCAAGGAAGAAGGGCTCCCTGGGATCAGTTTCTAGAAGCTTGTGATACTTTGGCATACAACAGGTTTCCTTTGTGGATTTCTACATGACTCATAATAAAATATTAATCAGATGATTTGTTTGTACTTTTATAGGTTGCTTCTAAAACCTTGCCTTTTTATAAAGACTACTTCAATGTTCCTTATCCTCTACCTAAAATTGATCTCATTGCTATTGCTGACTTTGCAGCTGGTAAAGTAAATTTCATTTTATTGCTGAATTGTCATGACTTTTATTTAAAATTTGTGATTTTTGAGGAAAAAGTATGCACATATATCAATAAATGTTTATATTTATTTTATGAAGGTGCCATGGAGAACTGGGGCCTTGTTACTTATAGGTATGTTAATGACACATTCCCCTACTTTATCTTTGAAAACACAGGCTTCAGAAAAGTTTCACTCCTATTCACAGTTGACTAGTTCATGCTTTGTGATCTGGAGTAAATTTTTCTGCTTTCCCCATGTTTCATGTGTATTTTAAGCATGCAGATGGACTTCCTCTCTGCTGCCACTATCTGAGGGTGAAGATTCTAAAAGGGAACATCTGGCACTAGTAGCATTTTTAGCTGTGTTAACTGTGGTTCTCCTTTCAGTGCCTTTCCCGGCAGTTGTTACCTAGTCATTAATCCAGCTTGAAGAACCTCCCCTGATTCTGTGTTTCTGTGTCTGTCACTACAACACAGACACATGGGTTCTTGCCTTCTACTTTCAATGACCTTTTTAGATGGGCTAAGTTTGGGATCGCCTGTTTGGTGCTCCTTTTGGAACCTTGGAATGTGTCTTCCACTGCCACTTCCCTTACGTCTTCTCTGGTTAGCACAATCTTCCCTAATCACTTAGACAAAAGTTTTTCAAAGACTTCAGACAGCAATCTGATAAATTTGTGCCATGTCTTTGGTCTTCAGCTTTATGAAGTGTATTAGGGAAGTCTGCAATCTTCCTAAACCTTTTCCCATCCTGCTTATGTTGAGGAATGTTTTCTTCATACTACTAAAGCCTAACATAAAACTCATTCATACTGTCTGAATGCTTCTGTATTCTGTATGACTGCTTTAATGACCATGCTTTTATTGTTTTAATTTTTTTTAAACACAGGGAGACTGCATTACTTATTGATCCAAAAAATTCCTGTTCTTCATCACGCCAGTGGGTTGCTCGGGACATGAAACATGAACTCGCCCATCAGTGGTTTGGAAATCTTGTTACTATGGTATTTAATATTTTTAAGTGCTTAAATATATTCATCTTTGTCCTCTTGTACATTATTTTGGCCACATACTGCTTCAGATTTGACTATGATACTGTGCACCCCCCCAAAAAAATTGGATTATAGAAACATTTTTTTTCCTTCCTTTTTCTTTTTAAAGGTCTTCCTCAAAGCATTGATCAGGGCTATCAAATAACCCAGTGGTTGAGTGCTTGCCTAACATGTTCAAGATGCTTAATTTGATTCCCCAGCATCACCCCTATCACCCATGAGACAGAGAAAGAGGGAGAAACGTTGATAACATTGAATCAGAAACAGAGCGATGAGACCGTCTTCATTTAACAGAAAATACTTCTTACACTTATATAATTTGTTTGCAAAAAGGGGATATTAAGATACTAATTTGGGTGAAAGAAAAATTCATCTTAGATAAAGAATTGAGCAATGAGATTCCAGGCTAACTATACTTTCTTGAGTCATCTTTGTTTTGTTGTTCATTAAAAGAAATGTGTCACTAAAAGAAATGTGTAAACATAAAGCATGTCTTCATTCAATTTAAGTGGTTGTAGGAATCATTGTTGTAGTTCCCTAAAACACATTGAAATTTCATAGAATGAAAGGGTTTTTTTTGTTTGTTTGGTTTTTTTTTTTTGGTCTTTTTGAGACAGGGTCTCTCTGTAGCCCTAGCTGTCCTGTCCTGGAACTCACTATGTAGACCAGGCTGGCCTTGAACTCACAGAGATCCTCCTGCCTCTGCCTCCTGTGTGCTGGGATTAAAGGGGTGCGTCACCATGCCCGGCTAGAATGAAAGTGTTTTAAAACTCTGTAGAATTGGGCTGGAGAGATGGCTCAGAGATTAAGAGCACTGACTACTCTTGAGGAGGACCCAGGTTCAGTTCCCAGCACCCACATGGCAACTAACAACTGTCCATAATTCCAGTTTGCACTACACAACACGGGTGTACTCACACACATTCAGGCAATACACTCATACACATTAAATAAAAATAATAAAATTTTTTTTAAAAAAACAAACTGTAGAATAGAGGCTGGATAGATGGCTCAGCGGTTAAGAACACTGTTCTTGCAGAGGACCCAGGTTTGAATCCCAGCACCCCATATAGCAGCTAACAACTGTAACTCCATTTCCAGGAGATCCGACAACCTCTTCTGTCCTCTGCAGGCATTGCATGACACAGGTACATTTACCTACATGCAGGCAATACATGCATACACATAAAATAAAAATAATAAAATATTTTTTTAACAGGTGTGCAAAAAAATGTAGAATAAAGTTGTATTTAAATTTCAACTGTTCATTGAAGTCTTCACTTTCTGTAATTTTTGCAGTGAATGATAAACCTGATAGTCCTGACATTTCACTTTTTACTCTAAATAAATTCTGTCTCTGTCTGTAGAAGCCAGTTATGTTAGTGCTTAAATATAGGGTTTTAATGAGTGAACTAGAAGTGCCCGAGCAGGGAAGACTGGAGGCTGTGGAGCTAGCCAAATTCTTTGATCACACTGTAGGCTGCCAAAGAGCTGGCTGGAATGTTGGTTAAGTTCACATGTCTTTAGAAATAAGCAAAAAAGTAAGACATGTTATGACATATCTGAGAGTGTTCCTAGAGAAAATCACTCAGTCTTTGAAAAGAAGCCCTTTCCTTTTTCTTTGAATGTTTAAAACTTGACTTTTGGGTTAAAAAAATTTTTTTTTGAATATAATTTTACTGGAACTGCATGTGTTAATGTCCATATTCAAATGTATGTAAAAATTCTTTTCTCTTAATGTAGCAAGTCTGCTACTTTTTTTTTTTTTTTTTTTTTTGTCATTTTGAGACAGGGTCTCCCTGTAGCCCCAGCTGTCCTGGAAATCACTATGTAGACCAGGCTGGCCTTGAACTCACAAAGCCCCGCCTGCCTGTGCCTCCCAAGTGCTGGGGTCTACTACTTTTTACCAAATCATCTTTTTGTTCAACTTTGAGAAAACTTGGTTTTGAAATTACCAGCAATAAGTTCTAGCAGAGGAAATATGTACATACGGTTTTCAAATACCTTTCTACTAAGCTTGTGTAACTTTCCTAGTTATTAATGTCAGTTGTTTCATAGATGGAAATTCCAAAGGTTTGGGGTTGACTTGCTTTCAACCAGCTTATATAAGTGGGGTCTACTAGTGTCTGAGTGACAGACAAGTAAACAGTTACCGCTTAATATTTAAAATTTTTTAAATTTCTTTTTTTTGTTATTTTTTTAAACATTTATTATTTTTGTTTTATGTGTATGAGTGTATGTCTGCATGTGTGTAAGTACATCTGTGTCGTGCAGTGCCTATGGAGTCAGAAGAGGGTGTTGGATTCCCCTGAAACTGGAGGTATGGACTGTTAGCCACCATGTAGGTGCTAGGAATAAATCCTGAGTCCTCTACAAGAGCAGCCAGTGTTCTTAACTGCTGAGTCATCGCTCCAGACCAAAATTTTTAAATTTCTAGTGCTCTTTTCTTTTTTTCTCAACAAAAGTTCTTTGGCCTCTGTCTTAGACTCATATATTACTTTAAGAGAATTAATCCGGGATTGGAGAGATGGCTCAATGGTTAAGAGCACTGGCTCCTCTTGCAAAGGACTTAGGTTCAGTTCCCAACATCCACATGACAGCTACAACTGTTTTAACTCCAGTTCTAGGAGACTCTGCCACCCTCTTCTGACCCACACAGATATTACTCACATGTGGTACACTTACATACATACATACAGGCAAAACACTTATACTCATATAAATATATAAATTTTAAAAAGAGATTTAGCTGGGCATTATGACACATGCCTTTAATCCCAGCACTCAAGTGGTAGAGGCAGGCAGATCTCTGTGAGATTGAGGCCAGCCTAGTCTACATGGTGAGTTCCAGGCCAGCTGGGGCTATAGGGAGACCTTGTCTCAAAAAGACGAAAAAACGCCAGGCATGGTGGCGTATGCCTGTAGTCCCAGCACTTGGGAGGCAGAGGCAGGCAGATCTCTGTGAGTTCAAGGCCAGCCTGGTCTACATAGTATGTTCCAGGATAGCTCCCAATTTAAAATAAAAAAAAAAAAAAAAAAAAAAAAAAAAAAAAAAAAATACAACAAACTGTCACTTAGTTTTACATTATGTAGAGAATGCTTTATTAGCTTCTGTAATCAAACCTGCATAGATAAGGCCTTGAATTTACTATAGTGTTATCTCTGTACAAATGGCTATTAATTTCTGTACAATACTAACTTAACATGGTAAAAACTGGGATACTTTTTTCCCCAAAGTTGTATCTGTCACTCATTTTATTCTTACTATATATTCTTGTTAATAGTTGAGAATTTTATATTTTCAAAATATTTAAACATCACTTGTTACTGAAATATTTCCTGCCATGACATTTCATTTTATATTCCTTATAGAAGCCATACTATTTTTTTGTTTGTTTGTTTATTTAGCAATAAAAACTCGGTCAACATTTTTCTAGTCACTGTGTAAGTAGTTTCCACATTTCCTTATTTGGCTCTGATAGCTGTGGCTTGTTGGGGTTTTAAAGAGAAATTCTTGACTCTCGGCAGTTCTCTAGTGACTGCCCAGCCTGCTGCCCTCTTGCAGTGTACTCAGTAAATTGTTCTTCAGAAGGGGAGGAGGGGGGCAGGGAGGAAGAGGAGAGAGGAAAGACATCTTTACTAAATTTTATTTTGTTGGGGGGCAGGGTCCTGACTCTGTAGCCCAGGGTGACCTTAAACTGGTGATTCTTCTGCCTCAGCCTCCAAAGTGCTGGGATTATAAGACTGCACCACCATACCTGGCTAAACTAAACTTTACAGGCTGATGTTTTTCACCCCTCTCTTGCCTACACTTACCCGCACTATTTTCCCTTTGTGTCCATTTGTGCCCCTCCTTCCTCCTTTTTTACTTTTGACAGTAAGAAGCTACTTAAGCACGTTATTACCAGTTTACCTTTCTTGGTCCTCTCTTTAATTCTTTTTTTCCCTAAAATGTGAATTCTACTAAACTAATTAGAGTTGAATTTTAGTTCATTAAATTACAAATTTTCAAGTGTGATAGAAGGGGACATGGTTTTCAAATAAATGAAACGATTATTTTGTTTTTTCACCTGTTTCTGCCTTCTGTTTTTAGGAATGGTGGACTCATCTCTGGTTGAATGAAGGCTTCGCATCCTGGATTGAGTATCTGTGTGTAGATCACTGCTTTCCAGAGTATGATATCTGGACTCAGTTTGTTTCTGCAGATTATACCCGTGCCCAGGAACTTGACGCCTTAGATAACAGCCATCCTATTGAAGTGAGCTATACTTTCCAACCATTGGCCTGTGGATGCTCTTCTTTTCCATGAAATAAGTATTTGTTATATCTCAAGATGCTTAGGACTCTGAAATGAAGAGAAAGCTGATGGGTGATTCCCCTTGGATTGTTTCTTGTTTTTGTTTTTGAGTTTATAGTTCCAATCTTAACTCTAGCATTTCTTTTTAAGGAGGGCAGTGTGAAAATATGGTCTTTATAGAAGCAAGAACTGTGGATGTGTTTATTGAATAGTGTGAGGAAAACCACATCTATTAAATAATACCATAACTGGTTTCAACAGAAATCCTGGACATACTTTATTATCAATTTCTATGCTTTGTTGACTTCTCTTGACCCTGCCTGTCCTTACTGTTTGTAGTTTGCTTTTTTTTTTTAACTTCGTTTAATTATTTATTTATTGAATTTAAATTTTTGTTTTGTTTATTATTGTTGTTATTGTGTGTGTGTGTGTGTGTGTGTGTGTGTGTGTGTGTAAGAGAGAGTATGTGTGTCAGTGTGAGTGTGAATGGTATGTATCGGGGAGGGGGTGCACATGCCACAGCACTCGTGTGGAGATCACAGGACAATTTTTGAGAGTTTGTTCTCCCTTCCACTGTGGGTTCTGGGGATCGAACTCAAATTGTCAGTCCTCACATGGCAAGATCTTTTACTTACTGAACCATCTTGCCAACACTTATTTTTA